ACTCGCCTCACATGATTCATCCGGGACGCGTCCCACGTGTGGCTTCAGCTGCCCCATGCATGTCAGTGTTTACAAGTCAGCCAGTGTGGTCACATCTAAGCATACATTCAGTACATTTCATATTATCACAGTGTTTTTAGTGCTTGTAGCTGCAAAATAAGTCACCATGGGCCCCAAGAAAGCTTCTAGTACCAACCCTGTGGTAAAAAGGGTGAAAATTATTATGGAAATGAAGAAAGAGATAACAGCTAAGTACAAAAGTGGAGTGCGTGTTTCTGAGCTGGCCAGGTTGTATACCAAACCCCAATCAACCATTGCTACTATCTTGGCCATCAAACACTACTAAAGTCACCTTCAGACTTCACAATGAGGCAGCCATTAATAACTTCACAACAGCAATAGCAAACATTGATTGGCACACTGAGCTAGAAATCTATACAGATATTGACGAATGTATTAATAATTTTCTAAAAAAAAACCAATACCTCTATAACAAGCACTGCCCTAAAAAAACTAAACAGATGACAGCTAAGAGACTGAACAGTCCTGGCTAACACCCAGCATTCTCAAATCCATAAATACAAAACACCAATATGAAAAAACAGTACAGAATGGGTCACATAACCAGAGATCAAACAAAACGTTACTCGTCAATCAAACAGCTGATAAGAAGGGCAAAAAAATTGTATTATGAGAACAGATTATCCAACTTACGAGGTGATATAAAAAAGACCTGGAAAACCCTATCAGAAATTCTGGGAACAAAAAGATATCACGAAATAGCGAAATAAAATTAGCAAAATCAGATGAACCCCAACTCCCACCAACAGAAACAGCAAACAGACTCAATGATTTCTTCTCCACTATAGGACAAAACCTTGCAATAAAATCCAAGCTCAGATACCCCACCAAATGACTACCTCACGGCAACTACCCGAACACACTGTTCCTAGCTCGACTAACCCATACGAAGTCTCCCTTATTATCAACGCACTAAAAAACAAGGCAGGAGATTTAAATACCTTACCACCTTTATATACAAAAAAGTGTCACAAGTGTTATCACCAATCATTGCAACACTCTTTAACAAATCCATTGAATCCTCCACCTTTCCCTACAATACTCAAAATAGCAAGGGTCACCCCGATCCACAAAGGAGGAGACCAAACAGAGTTGAATAACTATAGGCCAATATCCAACTTACACCCTCTCTCAAAAATCTTCGAAAAATTAATTCACAAACGAATCTACTCCTACCTTATCTCCCAAAACATACTCAACCCCTGCCATTTGGATTCAGGCCTAAAAAAATACTAATGATGCTATTATACACATGCTAGAACATATATACACTGTAATAGAGAAAAAAGAAGTCCCACTGGGGATCTTCATTGACTTACGTAAAGCTTTTGATACAGTTGACCATGACTTGCTCCACGTAAAATTGTCACACTATGGTATAAGAGGGCACTCCCTCAACTACCTCAAGTCATACCTCAGCAACAGAAGCCAATATGTGTACGCAAATGGGGCAAACTCTTCTGCGCAACCAATTACAGTTGGTGTCCCACAGGGAAGTGTCTTGGCCCTCTTCTCTTTCTCCTATACATAAATGACCTTCCAAATGCTTCGCAATTACTCAAACCCACACTATTTGCAGATGACACTACATACGTCTTCTCTCACCCGAGCCCAGTCACGCTAGCCAATACTGTAAATACCGAATTACAGAAATATCTACCTGGATGAGGACTAACAAACTTACACTAAACATTGACAAAACCTACTTCATTCAGTTTGGTAACAGAGCTACAGATGTCCCTCTTAACATAATGATAAACGGATCACCTATCACAAAACTAACAGAGGGAAAATTCTTAGGAATCCACCTTGATAATAGACTCAAATTTCATACACATATACAACAAATTTCTAAGAAAATTTCCAAGACTGTAGGCATACTATCGAAGATACGGTACTACGTTCCACAGTCAGCCCTCCTGGCCCTATATCACTCTCTTATTTACCCCTATCTCACCTATGGAATTTGTGCATGGGGCTCAACAACAATTAACCATCTCAGACCACTAATTACCCAACAAAAGGCTGCAGTTAGAATGATAACAAATTCTCACTACAGGCAGCACACTCCACCAATATTCAATACACTAAACCTACTCACCATACAAAACATCCATACTTATTACTGCACCTATTACATACATAGAACACTTAACTCTGATATTAACCCTCCCCTCAAACATCTCCTTGCCAACCTCAACAGAACACATGACCATAACACAAGGCACAGATCACTCTTTGATGTTCCTCGTGTCCATCTCACGCTATGCAAAAACTCAATGCACATAAAAGGCCCTAAAATCTGGAATTCATTACCTGTAAATATAAAAGAAACACTACCTGTTTATAAATTCAAGTCTCTTCTCAAAGATCACTTACTCACCCAAAACCAAATAAATACTGAATAACTGAACCTTATAAATTGTATATCTTAAATGTTTCTCACAATTATATCACATAAATGTTAAACCTAAAACCGAATCTAACTTTATTATTTTTTAAATACACTACCTAACAGAATCCTTCATATGACTGAATGCAACCATATGACCTGTCTTTGTAATACTCACTTGTGCTTTATAGTAATCTGTTTACATTAATGTTTTATCACTGATTTCATCATTGCTTAGTTAATCTTAAGTTAATTTTAAGCCAGCCCGTAATGCTATGCATAGTATAAGTGGCTTTGGCATGCTGCTCTTACCTGTATTTTTTTGTACCTCTGTATGTGTGCTCAAATTGGAAATAAATAAAGGAAGCTGTTCTTGCAAAAGGTGCAAGTTTGTTTTCAAAACAGAGATCGCAAGTGATAGAAGATGTTGAGAGACTGTTATTGGTGTGGATAAATGAAAAACAGATAGTAGGAGATAGCATCTCTCAAGCGATCATATGTGAAAAGGCTAGGAAGTTGCATGACGATTTAATTAGAAAAATGCCTGCAACTAGTGGTGATGTGAGTGAATTTAAGGCCAGCAAAGGTTGGTTTGAGAGATTTAAGAATCGTAGTGGCATACATTTGTGTGATAAGGCATGGTGAGGCTGCCAGTTCAGACCAAAAAGCGGCTGAAAAAAAATGTGTAGGAATTCAAGGAGTACATAGACAGTGAAGAATTGAAACCTGAACAAGAGTTTAATTGTGACGAAACAGGCCTGTTTTGGAAGAAATTGCCAAGCAGGACCTACATTAGTCAGGAGGAAAAGGCACTCCCAGGACATAAGCCTATGAAAGACAGGCTTACTCTTCTGATGTGTGCTAATGCTAGTGGTGATTGCAAAGTGAAGCCTTTATTGGTGTATCACTCTGAAACTCCCAGAGCATTCAGGCAAAAACAATGTCCTCAAGGCTAATTTGTGTGTGCTGTGGAGGGCAAACAAGGTGGGTCACTAAGGATTTTTTCTATGACTGGTTACACCATGCATTTGCCCCCAATGTGAAAAATTACCTAATGGAAAAGAAATTGGACCTTAAGTGCCTCCTGGTATTAGACAATGCCCCTGGTCATCCTTCAGACTTGGCAGAGTGACTTTCCGGGGGACATGAGCTTCATTAAGGTCAAGCTTTTGCCTCCTAATACCACTCCTCTCCTGCAGCCCATGGACCAGCAGGTCATTTCAAACTTCAAAAAATTCTACACAAAAGCTATGTTTCAAAAGTGCTTTGAAGTGACCTCAGACACTCAATTGACTCTAAGAGAGTTTTGGAAAGATCACTTTAGCATCCTCAGTTGTGTAAACATTATAGGTAAAGCTTGGGAGGGAGTGACTAAGAGGACCTTTAACTCTGCTTGGAAGAAACTGTGGCCAGAATGTGTAGAAGAAAGGGATTTTGAAGGGTTTGAGGCTAACCCTGAGAAGCATATGCCAGTTGTGGAATCCATTGTGGCATTGGGGAAGTTTCTGGGGTTGAAAGTTAGTGGGGAGGATGTGGAAGAGTTGGTGGAGGAGGACAATGAAGAACTAACCACTGATGAGCTGCAAGATCATCTTCAACAGCAAGAGGGCAGACCTGAAGAAACTGCTTCAGAGGAGGGGAGAGAGAAACTGAGGAAGTTGCCTACTTCAAAGATCAAGGAAATGTGTGCAAAGTGGGTTGAACTGCAAACCTTTGCGGTTGAAAATCACCCTGACACAGCTACTGCAAGCCGTGTTGGCAACCTGTACATTGACAATGTTATGGCCCATTTTAGGAAAGTCTTAAAGGAATGGGAGGTACAGAGCTCTATGGACAGATATGTTGTGCGACAGAGGTCCAGTTACTCTCAAGCTGGTCCTAGTGGCATTAAAAGAAGAAGGGAAGTAACCCCGAAAAAGGACTTGCTACCTCAAGTCCTAATGGAGGGGGATTCCCCTTCTAAATGCTAACACCATCCACACTCTCCCCTCCTCCCATCCCATCAATCATCACCAGATCTTCAATAAAGCTAAGTGTCATTTATTCTATTCTTAGTAGAGCAGTAATTGTACATGTCTTCTTCAGTTTGTGCGTATTAAAATTAATATTTGTGTGTATTAAAATTAATTTCATACTTTGGGGTGTCAGGAACGGATTAATTTGATTTCCATTGTTTCTTATGGGGAAAATTAATTCGCCTTATTTCGGCTTGCGATGAGCTCTCAGGAACGGATTAATATCGTAAGGCGGGGGTCCACTGTAATGATAAAGTGAACTTCTATTTTGTATGAAAGCCATCACGTAAGATTGTTATTTTTATTACATTCATGGGAAGCACGAAACACTTTAGCCATACATTATCATCATTACATTCATGGAGAAGACTAAACCCATGGTTATACAGTGCCTGGGGAAATGGAAGGCAATCCGGCTTGATCCAAGGAGCTGGAGGGATTATACAGAGCCTGTGGGGGGGAAGAATAATGAAAGGTATTCATGCTCAATTCAGGAATCAAGAGCCCCTCACCATCATCAAGGAACCTTCCTTGAGGAGTCAAGGAACTGGAGCAGATTCAACTCCTTAGAAATTAAAATCCCCTGATCAGAGATAATTGAAGTCAGATTCGATCCAAGGAAAGGGAGGGCAGTCCCATTTCCCTGGATTAAGAGCCCTTCACTGGCTCCTTCAAGACCTACTGACCCATTCTGGGCAGGTCTTTAAATCATATACCCTTCTCATTCGTATATTTGTTTAACTTATTATTTTTAAAGCTACCCAAAATGACAGGTGTTGGTGTTGAGGTTTATAGGGCCACTGAAAGCATACGCCGTATCGAGCCCTGCCTTCCAGAGTTCGGAAAAGGAACGTCGACGAAAGTAAAAGGATGTTGACTAATAACTGAATATTATATGTCCCTAATGCGCCCTGAAGCCAGCAAGAATGCGCAGGTACAGGCCAAGATTTTCTGACGAGTGTGAGCTAGACCGGCATTGGTGGAGTGTGGACGTGTCTTCTGAAGGTTCCTCAGTTGTTTATTGGTGGTGTAGGCCCTGTTTAGGCTCTGCTTCACATTCTTTCTTTTCTTGTGTGCTTGAGTTGTCATTGTCTTCTCCATCAGGCGGTGTTGTGTGGCTCATTTATGGGGGGTTTGACTGAGATGTCGTTCGCCCCCATAGGGAGGGACCCCCCCCCCTGTCTCTACTCAGTTGACAACTGTTTCACTACCGTCGGACCAAGATATGGCTAGTGTGCCCCCTACTGGGATAAACAAACGGGCTCTTGAGGTTGACGACAGTGCCAGGCCCCTGTCTAGCCCAAAACGCCAACCCACCACTTGTCCAGACTATGCTCCTTCTCTTCACATTACTCCAGACGTGATGGTGGTTCTTGTGCGTCCTAAGGATGGCGGTACGCCCTTCACCAACTCACGGGACGTCACCAACGCCATCATGGATGCATTTCGGCAAGGTTCATAGATGGGGGGCGTCCAACAACTGGGTGGGGGTGCAGCCCAAGGCCCGGCTCCATCGTAATCTTTTCGGGCTAGAAATTTCCCATAAATCCCTTTCATGTCGGGGGAGGTGGAATGTTGTCTGCTGGGGGGTCCGTCCTCAATCCTTGCCGCTGGTGTTGTTACGGCAGAATTGGCCCGATTTCACATCCCTCCAGATGAGGAATCCACTCTGAATTGGTTCATAGTGGAGGTGAGACTGGGTTTGCGGAAGATTTGGACCCTCCAAATCGTTTTACCCCATCTCGATGGTTCGCTATTTTTTCCCGGGGTGCTCCCCCGAAATTTGTGACTTTTGGCAATCAAGTTTTCCCTTTTTAAACCTTTATATTTTCCTTTCACAGGGTGGGAAATGTTTCTTTTCGGCAGGAGAGTTGTCTTTGCCGGGGTAAGGTAAGTTGGGGAAACTGCAGGGGGGTTTCCCCAGTATTTTAAAGAGGGATTATTTGTCCCCGCCCGGCTTTCGTGTATTCGAAAAGGGGAAACCCACAAGGTTACCTCCCGGTCTTGCCGGATATCGCCAGGCTTTGATTTGGAAACCCACCGGGCCCAGTCTTGTTGCTCAATAATTTAAACTCCGCTTGCGGTCCGAAAAACCCTCACAGTCCGTCAGCCCCTGCCTCCTTCGCCTCCATGGGGGGGGCTTGACCCCCGAAACTCTCTCCAGGTAAACTCCTGCCCCCCACAAAGGAGTCTCCCCCAACACCAACACGGCCAGGCCTGTACCCCGCAGCTGTGAGGGTTATACCCCTGTTACAAATGGGTTTGGGGGGTCTTGCGGACCTCTTTTTCCCCTTTAGAGGTTTTCTCCAACTCCGGGGAAAAACATCAATCGGGGTGCCCTCGGCCCCGGGCTTCCATTGCAAAAATTTTGCACAGCACCCCCTCGCCCCACAACACACGTCCTCCCGCGAGGGGGTACATTTCCCAAATCACCATTGCCAGACCCCCACCCAGTTCAGATGGACTCTACCCGACCTGGGCCTCCCGTCTCGCACCGACTCCCCCCACCCCCAATTCTCCTAAACCCCAGCCTGGGCCCTGTCTCCATCCGGGCCCCTTCATGTCTGAAGTCCCGCTTTCTCCCCACCTGCCGGGGTTTTTTATTCCTTCATCCTATCCTCCTCCTGGTGGAGGGGTCTACATTTTTACCCCCAGGGCACCTCTTTGTGACTGCATGTCTCCTTTTTCTCCCTCCCCTTTTTGGGGCCCTTTAGTTCACACACGTAAACCCTTCCACCCCTCTTTTTTTCTTCTTTGAATGCCCTCTGTACGGGGGAAGTTTCCCCAGCCCTTCAAGGATTGGCTGAGGTAAAGCCACGGGTGGGGGGGTCTCTCTGAGAATGGTTACGCCCTCGACATTCTCTTCAGATGCCTGGTTTCATGTTTACCATAGGGATGGCCTTGCGGGAGCGGAGGGGCCTACTCTTCTTGTACGCAACCAGCTCCAGAGTAGACTTCTCTCCCCAAGCCAGAGAGGGGAGTTTTGGAAAATTTGGGCTGTGAAAGTTCCTTAGGCACCAGTGGTGAAACTATCCTGATCTAAACCCGGGGCAGGGCGGTTACACAAAGTGAATTTACCTATTACTTTGGACAACTCCGTGGTTCACGTTTGTGATAGGAGATTTTAATGCAAGGAAAACCAGTTCGGGAGCCACCATTTTTTTGGGGATCAGAAAAACCCACGGGTAGGGCCCTTTTTCCCAACCCCCCTGAAACCCCCTTTTCGTTGCTCACACCCCCATTTTTGGAGATAAGTGGATCCTTATACCGGGAGTTTTTCTCCCCTAGACCTGTTCTTGGGTGTGATATTTTACTACAGCTACTGTTCTGTAGGCCCTTCATGGGGTGCCATTTCCAGTCCTTATTTCACAAATGAAGCCTTAGCAGGCCAGTGACGCAGTCCGTTCACGGGGGGGAAATTCACCCAGGTGGGGGACAAACAAAAAGGGGCCCTTGTGATTACAGCCGCCTCAGGATCCTTAAAAAAAAAAGATTTCGTTGGGTTTTTTAACCCCGGAGGGTTAGCCCCCAGATAACCCAAGAAAGTCAGTGCCCCCACGGAACAACTTATTTCCAAGGGGTCCTAATCTTGTCCCCCGGGATCGACCCAACCCAGTCGACTAAACCCAGGTCCCTATTTCGCTAGGTGAACGAACAACATGTGTAAGGGAAACGTGTCAAATGTTTCCCCCCCCCGGAAACAAACCCCGGGGCCCCCCCCATGTGGAAGCGGGAGTTTTACCCACCGGGCCCCCCCCATTGCTCTACTCCCTGTTTGGGAAAGGTGCGGGAACGACGGTGGTTTACTCGCTCTCTTGAGGATTGGGAACAGGGCCCTCCTGCTGAAAACCAAGTGGTTTCCCGAAAAGGTCGTCCACCCTCGACCCTTTGCTTCAATTTACAAGCTTGTGCACACTTCATTTAAATCCGGTAGTTCCTTTTGGCTGCATTTTGGACCTACACAGAGCATTTGACTCGCATCACACACAGCAATTTTTTTAAAGCGGGGCCCGCAGGGGGCTAAAGGACCCCCTCTACTGGATCCCAACTTTTTGCAAGGGAGGACCTTTCTGTACAGTGGGGGGGCGCTTTGCCCACCCTGCCCTGTATACCGGGGAGTGCCCCAGGGATCGTTCTTAGCCCACTCCTTTTCTCTGCTTTTTGTGGGTCTCCCTTCCTCTAGGGAGGCATACCCTGGATATGCGGATGATGTCCCCCTTATGTGCAGTGCCCAGCTATATGACAGCAAGGAAACACTTCAGGGGCCTCAATGCATAACATAAAGGGCCCCCCCTGGGGTTTGGGGTTGTGACACAAGTCCAACTCTTTTGTTTTTACTAGACCCGACTCCCCATCTTCCATCAGTCTCATTAAACCCAGCCCCAAACCCTTTTTGGTCTCTTCTCATCGGGGTTTGGGAGTCACCTTAGATGCACCATTTTGACATGGAAGAAACAATAGCGGCCTCCACCTCTCGGTGCACGTCGCTTTGCACTAGCCCCGGTGATAAGGTTTAAAAAACGCAATTGAAGTTTGAGACATTTATGCCATTGGGAATTTTTATTAGGAAACTTTTCCCCCCACACAGTGGCTTCTCAGTCCAATAAAAAGGGGAAGGCGTAAGGAGAGGGGGAGTATGATTCCCTATACTCCCCCTCCCTCCCCCCCTTCCCTTTTTGATTGGACTGTGAAGCCACTGTGTGGCAACTTTCCTAAATAAAGTTTTCCCATATGCGCATAAGTGTTCAATTTTAAAACTTTCGGTTTTTCAAACTTCTCACAACTGTCAGACACTGCAGCATCATGGATTTCCTTACAAAGAATTTTAAAAACACTTGTTAAAACCTTTGACAAAGACCTATTCGACGGGGGATGGTACCACTAGACCCGCCCCGTCTGCTTCAAGTCCCCCTCACTACGATATAACCCAAGCTACGGCCCTATGGTACATTCTAAAAGATTGAGGGGACTGAACACATCGACTCAAGGCTGGGGGCTGATTACCTAATACTCCCCTCTCCTTACCCCTTCTCTTTGTTATTGGACTATAAACCACTGGTGGCGAAACTTTCCTGAAAAAAGATTCCCATATGCTGCAAAAGTGTCTCAATTTTAATTTATGCAGGGATCTCTGGCCCCAAGTGGGGGGGGGGATCGGACCTTCTCTTAAGTTCTATATAGCAGGGTTCGCAGCAAGCTACTTAGTGAGGAGGTGTAGACTCAGCTTCTTCCTCCTCTCTTTATCGTTTAGACATTCCCAAAATTTTCAGCCTCCAAATATGCTGGGGCTTCCCCCTCCACCCCTTCGCAGCCTTGGGGGCAGAGTCGGGGATATCTCTCTCGTGGTGAGGACAGCGGGGACTGTTTACGACTCCATCATAGGGCCCCTTCCCTTGTACTCCCCCTGTTGCCTTCTTCACAGATGTGGGAGACAGCCTCTTCCCCCCACGTTTGGCTCGCCTTCCCTTTTTACCAGGGCCCAGCGTTCCCCTTCCTCTTTTTTCTTCCTGCACTTGTGATGATCCCTCCCCTCCCATCTCCGGGACCCCCTGGCTGGACCGAACGATACATTCACTTGGACTGGCACTACAGGGAACAGGGAACCCCCTCATTAGTTGCATTTCTATTTTGGGGTTTCGCTTGTTACATGGGGCTTCATTTTCCCTCTACATGAGGCTGGGACGTCCTCCTTCCCCTTTACATCATCTGGGCTTCCGCTAATCTCTCCCTTTTCAAACGTGGGGTTACCCTGCTCATTCTGTTCTGGCAGGGGAGCTCTCACCATTTAC